GCTTTCCTAGCATACAACCACTAACCATGTGATTCCCCCCATTACAGTAATGGCAGTTGAATCCAAAATCACCTTTCAACTTTTTCTGTTTTTTCTCCTCCTCAACACGACCTTACTTTTCTCAACTTTCTTCTCATCATTCCATGACTTACCATCAAAACTCCCCTTCACTTCACTTGTTTTCGACTTTGCATTGAATGAATTCTTGAAAACTATATTTACTCAATTGTTAGAGTAAAATGTCATAGTTTCGTCTTCTGAGTTGAAGATTAGGCCTTCATCATCCGAACTCTCTTTCTTAGCAAGCTATTTCTCTGCTTCTCATCCAGTAACTTTCGAAACAAGTGCAAGTGGACCACCTAAACTGATCTTTAATTCCTCGGCAATTTCATTTACTTCGGATTCATGTGCTTTCATCCTGTTGTAAAGATCATTTAGAGAGAAGTAATCAAAACTTTATTGTGTCTTAATCATCAGGCTTACATTCCTCCATTCCTTTCGAATACCAATAATGAATGTAAGATTGAACTCCATTGTTGATTGAATGACTCCATATCGGTTACACTTGAAGATAAGCTCATTCAGACGATCATAATAAGATTTAATTGTCTGTCCTTCCTTTTGCTTGAAATCTCCAAATTCAAAAAGACACTGTTTTACAGAACTGATCTTCGTTTTTTCAGTTCCTTGATACTTTTTCCTTTAAAGTATCCCAAATCTCTTTTCCAGTCTTACATCTACGCACGTAATTGTAAACAATTTGAGGAAGAGCACCTTTGAATTCTCGCATACACTTCTTTTCATTCTTCAATAATCTATCAGACTGTTCATTAACATTTTGATTGTTAGAAGAAGTACCAATACTGTGAACAGCAGCGGGAGGACGAACATCAACGAGAATACACTTCTAAAGTTCTTCATCAATTCCGTTCAAGTAATCCTACATTCGATCAGCCCAGCGATCATAGAACTCAAGAATTAGCATCAGAATCTTCGTTGATGATCCAAGGAGATGAGAGTAAGACGTCATCGTGTTCACATTAAAGTTTGCCATTGTTGTACGGAAAATTTTGAGAAAAGCTTGAATCATATTGAGATCAAAAAACTAAAACACTTAGAATTCAACAATTGAGCATTCAATTTTACAACTAGAACACATTATCGATTCACAACAGACAATCTAAGATGATTTTGTGAAGTAAAAGGGCGTAAAATTGAAATCTGAAACGAGACTCAAAACTTTTACAAAAACTCATAAAATCAGAACAATTTTGTATGAATCCTGCTCTGATACCAAATCTAGTTGTAATGAAATCGAGTATGAATGATAAGATCAGAGTAAAGTAAGATTGATGAACACGAGATCTAAATAATATCTGTTTAGCTCAATTATGCTTTCAAAGATACATAGAGTTTTCAGACATAAATGACGAATGTTCTTATCGATCTCTAGTACACATCCCATATTTATAGGGATCATGAAAGCATACAAAAAATATAAGGGACTAAACACTAAAATCTTCAATACATAAAGTGGCCTTATAATAAAATTAAAAATTGTCGAAACTAACTATGGCCTTCGACACCTCACAACTATATTCGACATCTACATAAACTACCAAGCATACATAAATTCTAGAAAAATTACAACTTGATACCATAATGGAGCTCTTTGGAATTCATCTCTTCTTTGATATTTGTCTTTCAAATCTGGAATTCACCACTTTTTTGTTTAATTATTGGTATCTTCTACTTTTATAATTTCTTCAGAATTTTTAACCTTTGGATTTCATACTTTGTCAGCTCTAAAACTCTTCAACTTTTTTGGTAATATCTCTCTCTTTTCTTTAATGTCTCACTTTTTTTTTCCACTCAAAGTCCTACTATGCTTAAGCAAGGAGCTTAACTTCAACCTTTATTGGTTAAAGGTATTAGTCTAAGTGCAATGACTACATAAGCTCTCCTGGATAGATTTCAAGTATAGGTTGAAAAACATATTATGCCATATAAACTACCAGATTATCTTTCATACCTCATGACTTTTCACTAGGAAATGGGAAGCCACAAATACACTATAACACGTGTAGGCTTGGGTAAACATTTGCGCTCTCTTCAGATCATCCCATCCAATACCAATAAAGTTTTAATTAGCAAGGTTTTCCTAAATTAAACTATTGTTTCAAGTCTATATAAATGCAAGTCTGAAATCTAGCAATGCAATTTTTTTTAAAAATCAAATGCTTTTTTTTAATGCAATATACCCCTACCCCACACTTAAATCATGCAATCCCCTCATTGCATACTATGTAAGTGATCGAGGTCATTGTCTCAATCAGAAATAAACCAACTAACCTAAGTAGATAGGGTAAGTTGGGTCGAATCCACAAGGAGTTCGTGGTTAAACATTGTGTCAAAGTAATAGATAAAGAGAACAGTATTACTAGCAATTGTCATGGAAAAGATTAAAGTAAAAATCAAACAAACACTTGGAGATTTATTAATTAAGATGAGGAAACTAGAGTACTCCCGGTTCAGTTATAGACAATTTAGATTCACACACTTTCTTTCCTAGAATCCTAATTTAATTACTTAGATGCAATTGGGGTTTATTAACTTGTAACACATAGTTTAGGTACATAATATGTTCGTTCAACTAGTTGTCTTACTCCTTTATGTCTAAATGAAATGGGAACAATTAGTGAACTAGAAATAAAATGTCTTACGACTACCTATTACCATATTAAGATTCAATATCATAAATTGGAATAATATATGTTGATTCAATCACTTGTCTTTATTCCTAAACTAATTGAACTTGGAACAAATGATGAATTGGCAATAAACTATCTTAATTATGACATAAAACAACTTCATACAACCCAATTTCAATCGTTATTACCAAAAGATCATCATATGAAGCATAGAATAATAATTGAAATTAATTAGAATCAAGTAATAATCAAGTGTATTCATCCAAGAGTCATAAACATCCCCAGAAGTAACCTTAACGGTTTAGCCTTCCATTGAGTTCATAAAACAAATAACTTGATTAAAATGAATAAAATGCATAATAGAATTCATGAACAAACGTAGAATCATCAAACAAATGTATCCTAATGATTATCAAAGTATAGAACAAATAAACCTTGCGGAAAAAGAAATAATTCTGGAAAATAAAGAATTGATGAAGATTAACCAATGAAATGATCTTCACTTATAGCTCGGTGATGAATTGAATCAAATCTTGCCTTGAATTCGGATTGAAATGCAATGGACTTGTGTTTCCAAATGTTTCCAAGGGTTTTATAAGCCTTAAAAATGCAAGGAAAACTCTGAAAATCGCAGGTGTGAACCCTAAAAACGAATGCATAGGTCCCTATTTATAGTGTGTGGCAAAAAATAATGGAATTGGGCGATGTGGGACGTTGGACGTCCCAAGAGACGTCTTAGATGTCGTGTATAATGCCCATGCGTTCTTTGTACATCCTTGCATGCCATCTGTCGTCCTTTAAATACACTAAAAAATGGACAAAAAAGTCAGACGTCTTAGGAGACGTCTTAGACGCGTTCTAGGACGCCGTTCCTTGTTTTCTAAACTTTCCGAAACACACCGTTCCAACACGAGACGTCCCTAAAACGCCCAGACGTCCTAGGGGATATCTTAGATTCCATGTAAGACGCCGACGGGGGTTCCTCCTTCTTTTATGCTCTGAATTAACGACCAAATGCTAACTGTTTGACCTAAACGTCCTAGGGGATGTCTTAGATGCCTGGAGGCGTCCTTCATCTTCTGTGCAAGTTTTGGTGGTCAAAACGACATAACTAGAAGAAACACAAAACACGAAAGCTGTAGTAAATCTTATCTAGTTTCCAGAAATTCTTTACGCATGTTAATCGGAGCTCCATAACTTGAGATATGATCAAAACAATGAAGAGTCGTCAACTTTCCCAACAACATTTCTTTATTCCTTGAGCAATTCGTTTTACTTGCAGGTTCCGCTCACTTTTAGTACTATATATTGACCTGCATATGAAGTTCAAAAACTCATCAAAGTAGTGTCATTCTTGGGCAATTACACATCAATTCAACATAATTATGACAATTTAACATATTCATAAAATAGACTTATCAGTAAGACATAAAATTAAAGAGGGAGAAAAAGGAACAAACTCCCCTGGGATAGAAGATGCATCTGTATTCGTGTGACTAATGTGTAAGATAACTTGCTCAAAATTGTGGAAACCGAAGTGGTTGACCGCTATAGAACGTGAATCAAAGACTTGGACACTTATACTTTAGAATGTATATGGTTAGAATCGAAAAGGCACCACCTCATGGTAAAAGGAACATGTCATGGTAGGTTGTGTGAATTAATTTTTCGTATTCTGAGTGCGACCACACGTTGTGGTGTAGGGTAGCACATCGTGTTGAGTATGAAATGGAACAAATCAGTGTTGTATACAACATATTTCTTCAATATTCCTTAGCACCAACAAAGATAAACATTTTAGAGACGCGACACTTCACTCGTTTGCTCAAAATAACACTCGAAATGCTTAACTCTCGCTTCTCTCGTCGTTTTCTAGTCTTTCTCTAAAATTCATTATTCTTTTGCCAAAACTGCCCCTCACTTTGACTAAAAAATTTATGGGAATCTAAAGCAAAGAAAAGTGATAAAACTAGTAAACAAATTAAAACAACCAAATAAAAAGATAAATATCCAAAACAAAAAACCACACCAAAATAAACCAAACAATATACAAATGTCTTAAATCCACTTGTAAGAAAAGGATAAAAATATCTCATTCCTCATCATCATCATAACCACCGCCTCCACTACCACTAGCTCCTCTCTATCGCTCCCGCCACAACACCTCCAAACTTGGAACATACGGATATGCAACTAAAAAATCATCGGGTCGATTGAAGTGCATTTGATGCATCATGAATCCAAATTCATATTCGTATAATTGACACCTTGTGCCAAATTGTCTAGAAACTACCTTAAAGTCACATTGTAGGGGTCCATGGAGAGCTCGTCCTCTGTCGGGATTACTGGAGGGTCATCTTCGTCGGTATCACCACCCTTTTGTCTTACCCGTCTTCCGGGTTGGTTGCAGGGCATATCATTGAGGATGGAAAAAATACCAAACGCATTATCAACAACAATATTAGCGTTTTTTAAGAAAAGAGGTGAAAAAGCTTTTTGAGGCTTGATTGTCAAAAACATGGCTTCACGCTGGTAAATAATGCCAAAAGATTGTGCAATCCGGGTGATAAACATCCCATCATATAAAGGAGAACCATGACGATCTTTGCCTGCCCGGATTGAGAGAAATTCTGCCAGAAGCAATGGGATGTCCACATAGATATCGGTTGTGATGAGGGCCCATAATATAAACACATGCAACACCGGGGCCTTGTCCCCCTTTTGTCTTTGATTAATGTTATTTGTGGTTAACCTGTGCAAGAAACAATGGAGAGGTTACCAGATTTCTCTTTCTTGTGCAGTCCCCTTGTTGTATATGTCATTTGCAATCATTGGCCAATAGGTGTCATCTTTGAATCTGTCAGTGGTTTGGATGCATCCTGTAATATACTCCAAATAGGATTCAGTATGGACCGCAGACAGGAGATAAATCTCTATCCTCATCACAAGCTCGGCAAGGCGTAGCTCTTGCCTTTCTTCCCCCAAATAAAATGTAAGATTTCCATCCTCGAGCGCACTAATTTTCCTTCTAGATGAAACCGTTGCTAAACACTCAATCACCAATTCCTTATAGACAATCTCTTGGATTTGGAACAACCTCCTCCATGCCATACACATAAATCTTCCTTGCACCCCATCAAAAGATTTAACCAACAATGGTTCAAAGCCTTCGAAGAACCCAACTTGTTCTATCCACCCCCAATTAACTAAACCTGGTACATGAACTTTCTGTTGTTTCAGCCACTCAAGCCTTCTATTCCATTATGCAAGAACCCCAGGACTCGACTCTAGGTAAAGTGAACCACGGGAAGTCGGGATGACTCCCAGGTTGGTTCCTCCTTGATCAGTTGGCCATAATCTGCAAAATAATAAAAACCACAAACCAAACAACAATATGCAATATTAGAGATAAAAAATTATACTAAAAAATTACTGACCACGACGAGGACCACGACGAGTTGTCATGGTCGACGAACTGGTCGAGTAATCTTTGCAAATTCAGTTCATATTCAATTTTTATCAAGTCAAGAGCTTTTTAGGGCATTTAATCTAACAAGTTGAAGCAAAAATCCATGTCTAAATACGAAAAACAAGTTAGATTTTGTCAAAAAAAAATCGAAACCCTAACTATAGTAAAAAGCCCGAAATACGAGTTCAAATTAGTAAATACTCAATATTAAAACCAAAATACTCAATTTTAACTAAGAAGAGATGTTAAAAATCTTATCTTTTACTTGAACAAACAAGGAATCAAATGTAGGAGGGAAGGGTTTCTTCGTGGGATAGATAGCTCGACGATAGAGTGGGAAGTTGAAAAGTGAAGCAATGACCGAAAGTAAGAAGAAAACCCTAATTTTGACTGCTGACAAAACGACGACACGTCGAGTTGAACCCACCACATCGTGGTGGTTTTTTGAAATTCGTGAAATCGGTTTCTACAAATTCAATACATCGTGGTGTAAAGTACCTCGTCGTGGTGTGAAAAATAATTTCATTTTGGTTAAACTTTTATAAAAATGTCCACCCCACACTCATTCCATGCTATTCCCCACATCGAAACTCAAATAAAAATTCATAGGAATGAAAGAACAAAAATAACGCATAAATAAAGCAAAAATAATGAAAATAAAATAAAAGGAAAGAAAACGCAAACTCAAATCCATAGGTGGCCTCCTGCAAGCGCTTCTTTTTGGGGAGTCATGATCTGGACTTCTTCCCTCTTCATGTCGATTCGGCTCGTGCACATTTCACAATTCCACCCCCTATTTTTATTCATTTGGCATACCTTCCTCGTAATGCTTTAACCTATGCACATTAACCTTGAAATGCGTTCCATCTCTTAATATTAACTCAATGGCTCCATCTGGGAAAACTTGTTTTACAATAAAGGGTTCATCCCAACGATTTTGTAATTTCATGGGAAAAAGCTTTAATCTTGAATTAAAAAGTAGAACCTTTTGCCCCTCGTGAAAGTCCTTATGTCCTCTTAGCCTCACATCATGCCATTTTTTTTTATCTTTGTAGATCAATGAGCTAGTGTATGCTTCATTTCTTAATTCTTCAAGAGCATTCACTTGCATCAAACGCTTGGTACGAAGTTCAGCTAATTCAAAGTTACAAATCTTCAATTCCCAAAACACTTTATGATCGATTTCAACTGGCAAGTGGAAATTTTTTCCATATTGCAATCTATATGGTGTAGTACCAATAGGTATTTTAAAGGCCGTACGAAATGCCCATAGTGCATCATCAAGCTTTTCTGACCACTCATTTTTATTTCCTCCAACCGATCTTTCCAATATCCTTTTTAATTCCCTACTCGTGACTTCCATTTTCCGACTCGTTTTTGGATGATATGGAGTTGCAAATCTATGGTGTACACCATATTTTTGTAACACCTTTAACCAATTGATCATTTGCAACGTGGGTACCCCGATCACTTATAAGAGCTTATGGGACACCAAATCTTGAAAATAGATTTTTAAGAAGATGAACCACTACTCAAGTATCATTCGTAGGTAATGCTTGTGCCTCCACCTATTTAGATACGTAATCAACCACCACCAATATGTATTTATTTCCTCTTGACATTGGAAAGGGTCCCATGAAGTCAATCCCCCAAATATTGAATATCTCACGAACTTGGATGCTTTTTTAGGGAATCTTGTTTCGAGAGGAAATGTTTCTTGGCCTTTGGCATGAATCGCACTCTTTGACAAATCTGGTCGCAGCTTTAAAAATTATCGGCCAATAAAAACCGGAATTGAATACCTTCGTTTTCGTGTATTGTGCTCCATGATGTCCTCCGGTGGGCCCATTATGGCAATGTTTTAAGATCTCGAGACTTTCTTTCCCGAACACACATCTTCTTATAATTCCATCCGTGCAACTTCTGAAGATGTACAATTCATCCTTAAAGTAGTACTTGACTTCAGAAAACAATTTCTTCTTTTTTTGGCGAGTCACGTCTCTTGGAAGATAATCACTAGCCAAGAAGTTGGCTATATCCGCATACCAAGGTACCTCTCCCGAAATTACCATCAAATATTCTTCAGGAAAATCATCTCCAATATTGTTTTCCTCTAATTCTTCCAATCCCTAGTTTTCAAGTCTTGATAAGTGATCGGCCGCCACGTTCTCCATTCCCTTTTTATCTTTTATTTCAATGTCAAATTCTTGTAAAAGCAATACCCAACATATCAATCTTGGCTTGGCATCCTTTTTAGCAAAAAGATACTTAAGGGCAGAATGGTCAGTAAACACAATTATTGTAGATAAAACTAAGTAAGGGCGGAATTTATCAAAAGCATAAACCACAACAAGGAGTTCCTTCTTGGTAGTAGTATAATTCTTTTGGGCTGGATTTAGAGTCGTTCTTGCATAATATATGGGTTGAAAATGCTTCTCAACCCTTTATCCCAAAACAACTCTAACTGCATAGTCACTAGCATCACACATTAGCCAAAAGGAAGGCTCTAATGTGTGTGTGTGTGTGTGGGGGGGGGGGGGGGCTCATGATAAGGGTACTAGTCAATTTCTATTTCAATAATTGAAAGGCTTCAACGCATACTTTAGAGTAGTTAAATGTAGCATCCTTCAAGAAAAGTTGGGCCAATGGCCTTGTGATTTTTGAGAAGTTCTTGATGAATCGGCGGTAAAACCCCGCATGGCCTAGAAAACTTCTCACCCCTTTTACATAAGTTGGAGGTGGCAACTTTGCTAGAGTAATTTGAAAGTATCCTGAAAAACCATCTAAAAAGCAATAGTAGAGATGACCGGATAATCTTTCGAGCATTTGATCAATAAATGGCAAAGGAAAGTGATCTTTGCATGTAGCATCGTTTAGCTTGCAATAATCAATACGCACACGCCAACCGGTTACCGTTCTTGTTGGAATTAGCTCATTTTCTTCGTTAGTAACTACCGTCGTTCCTCCTTTCTTAGGTACCACGTGCACTGGACTCACCCATTGGCTATCAGATATTGAATAAATGACACTGGCATCCAAAAGTGTGACTAACTCCTTCTTCACTACCTCTTGTATGTTCGGGTTTAGTCTTCTTTGGTGTTGCACCACTAGCTTAGCACCTTCTTCAAGATTTATTTTATGTGAACAATATGCGGGACTAATTCCTTTGATGGCGGTAATCTTCCATGCTATGGCACTTTGTATTTTCTTGAGTACTTCCACTAGGTTTTCTTTTTCATGTTTTGCTAGATCAGATGCTATGATGACTGGTTTTTAATGTCCTTCTTCCAAAAATGCATACTCCGAATGCCTAGGCAAATATTTGAGCTTGATTTTCGGTTTTTCGTCAGTGACCATGACGTGGGCATTCTGCCACGCTGTGGTGTCGCAGTTTTTTCTGTCTAATCGTGAAAAATTAGACGAGTACGTCGTGGTGTCTGTGCCACATCGTGGTATTCCTTCAACTCCTTTTTCAGCTCTTTGTACTCTCTCTCTTTGATAAGATTCTCTATGTCATGTATGTCAAGTTCAACATCAAAATCTCTTTCTTTTAGCACCATATATCCTTTAAGTTGCTTCTCTTTCCATCCTCCAAGCTCTTTCTCAAGTAATTCATCAAACACATCGACTGAAAAATTCGTATCGTTAATTATCCTTGAATGTTGGATTGCTCGATTTACTGCAAAAGTGACTCCTTGTTCTCTAACTTGTATAGTTTGGATTCTCTTACATCAAGAAACGCTCGGGCAGTGCTCAAAAATGGCCTTCCAAGAATAATTGAGACTTGTTCGTTGTCCTCCATGTCTAAAACAATAAAATACGCAGGAAAAACAAACTTGTCAACTTTTACTAATAGGTCTTCACAAATTCCTCTTGGAAAGGTCATAGTCTTGTTGGCTAAATGGATGACCATGCAAACCGGTCTAGGTTCGGGAAGATAAAGCTTCTTGAAGAATGAATAAGGCATTAAATTCACACTTGCTCCCAAATAGGCTAAAGTGTGGCTTGTAGCTAGATTTCCGAATTGGCATGGTAGTGTAAAGCTTCCTGGATCACCCATTTTCTGTAGTTGCATATTCAACACCGTAGCTGAGTAGGTTTCATTTAGCACTACCTTTGACAATCCCATTATTTTCTTTCGGTTAGTTAGGAGGTCTTTGAGAAATTTTGTATATTTTAAAATTTGAGCCAAGGATTCCAGGAATAGAATATTGATTTCAAGAGACTTTATGTGATCTAAGAACTTCAAGTAGTGTTCAACATTCTTTTCTTGGATTGATCTACTTGGGAAGGGCATTGGTGGGTGGTATGGCTTAACGGGTTCAACACTTTTCTTTTCAGGTTCCTATCACATTGTGGCGACTTTTCAGTTTCTTTTCCTTAACTTTCTTCTTGACTTTCCTGATCAATATCTGGGTTGTTTCTGTTAATCGGAGACAGATGTGTAACAATTTTCCTAATTCTAGTTGTAACATCCTGGATGTGAGCTCCTTTTAGGTTTTGTTCAGTACTTCCTGGAAGTCCTGTCGATGATCTTTCATTGAATCGCTTAGCTAGTTTCGAAGTTATTATTTGATATTTAGGATTGACGCTTGCTGATGTCTGAGTAAAGTTTGTTGATCTCTAATTAAAGCTTGTTGTTCTCTAA